TCTTGTCACAGTGTGAACACTTGTACGGTTTCTCTCCAGTGTGGATCATCTCATGTGTTTTCAGATTTCCTGAATCATTGAATCTCTTGCCACAGTGTGAACACTTGTACGGTTTCTCTCCAGTGTGAATCATCTGGTGCTTTTTTAAATTGCTCACTGAAGAAAACGTCTTTTCACACTCAAAGCACATGTACTCTGTCATAACAGTATGAACTTTCTGATGTACTTTAAAACTTTGTAGACACGAAAAACTCTTTCCACACAAATTACATGAATGTGGCTTCTCCTTTGTATGAATATTCATGTGCTACTTCAGGCCTGAAGCTCTCAAAAATGTTCTGCCGCATTGATCACATGTGTACAGTTTCTCTCTAGTGTGGATGTTCATGTGTCTCTTAAGGGTTGCTGATTGTGTGAAACTATTGCTCACTGAAGAAAACGTCTTTTCACACTCAAAGCACATGTACTCTGTCATAACAGTATGAACTTTCTGATGTACTTTAAAACTTTGTAGACACGAAAAACTCTTTCCACACAAATTACATGAATGTGGCTTCTCCTTTGTATGAATATTCATGTGCTACTTCAGGCCTGAAGCTCTCAAAAATGTTCTGCCGCATTGATCACATGTGTACAGTTTCTCTCTAGTGTGGATGTTCATGTGTCTCTTAAGGGTTGCTGATTGTGAGAAACTCTTTTCACATTGATCACAAGTGAACGGTTTCTCTCCGGTATGAACTCTCATATGGTCTGTAAGGTTTCCTTTTTGTGAGAAACTCTTTCCACACTGATCACATGTGTATAGTCCCACTCCAGTGTGGCTGTTCATGTGTTTCTTAAGGGTTGCTGAGTATGAGAAACTCTTCCCGCACTGATCACACGTGTACGGTTTCTCTCTAGTGTGGATGTTCATGTGTCTCTTAAGGGTTGCTGATTGTGAGAAACTCTTTTCACACATCACATTTGTACGGTTTCTCTCCAGTGTGGATCCTCTCGTGTGTTTTCAGATTTACTGACCGACTGAATCTCTTGTCACAGTGTGAACACTTGTAAGGTTTCTCACCAGTGTGAATCATCTCATGCAGTTTTAAACAGTTCACTGAAGTAAAAGTCCTTTCACATTCGAAGCACATATAATCTCTCACACCAGCATGTATTTTCTGATGAACTTTCAAATGTTGTAGACATTTAAAGCTCTTTCCACACAAATAACATGAATGTGGCCTCTGTTTTCTATGAACTATCAGGTGCTGCTTCAGGCCTGAAGCTCTCAAAAATGTTTTGTCACATTGATCACATGCATACAGTATCTCTCCAGTATGGATGATCATGTGTTTCTTAAGGTTTGTTATGTGTGAGAAACTCTTCCCACATTGATCACAAGTGAACGGCTTCTCTACAGTATGAACTCTCATGTGTGCTGTAAGGCTTCCTTTTCGTGTGAAACTCTTTCCACACTGATCACATGTGTACGGTTTCTCTCTAGTGTGGACCCTCTTGTGTGCTTTCAGGTCTCCAGACTGACTGAATCTCTTTTCGCATTGTGAACACTTGTAAGGTTTCTCTCCATGTGGATGATCATGTGTTTCTTAAGGTTTGTTAAGTGTGAGAAACTCTTCCCACATTGATCACAAGTGAACGGCTTCTCTCCAGTATGAACTCTCATGTGTGCTGTAAGGCTTCCTTTTCGTGTGAAACTCTTTCCACACTGATCACATGTGTACAGTTTCTCTCTAGTGTGGACCCTCTTGTGTGCTTTCAGGTCTCCAGACTGACTGAATCTCTTTTCGCATTGTGAACACTTGTAAGGTTTCTCTCCAGTATGAATTCTCATGTGAATATCAAGACTAAATTTGCTTGATAAACTCTTTCCACACTGAGTGCAGGTGAAATATTTCTTGGCTCTTCTGTTCTTTAAAACTTTCTGTTTATTTTTACAGCAACTCAAAGGTTTTTGTCCAGTTCTGAAGTGATTTTTTCCCTCAACTTTAGTCAATTCTCCATTCTCCTCATTTTCGTCAATGAATTCTGGAACAATAAAAAAAAAGTTTATTTTCGTTAACTCAAGCTAATAAAAAAAATGTGAAAAGACATAAAAGTGAACCCTGATGTAACAGTGGAAAGTAGACAACTGCTATACAACATTTTGATCATTTGTGAACTGTGCTAGCAAAATGAGTCCCAGAGGTTAAAGCAAAAACAAATCCTGAGCCTGAACTTCTTTCTGGGGGTTGAGGGTGGCGGTGGCGGACACATACACAGGGTTATTTGGCAAATAAAAAAAGAAAATGATTTTCCTTGAAACTAACTAGTAACGTATCTGCCATTGCCATTGGCCCTTGACAGGCTCAGACTACAGATTATGGTGGATATTTGAAACAGCAATAACAAGAAAGATCACTCACTACAATATGGTGCAAACACATTTAACATTTAGGATGCTTTTGATATCAAGTTTTGCTGGTTTGCTTTGTCCTTGATGGTACAAGATGACCTACAATCTAAAACATGAAATTTCTGAAATTGTTTTGTTCAAAAGAAATAATGGTAAATTAAAGCTGCAGTCCGTAACTTTTTTTGTGTTCAAAATTAACAAAATGTATATAATAAGCGAGTACACCATGAATCCATTTTCCAAACCATTATTTTGGCTTGTCCTGAATCACTACGGTACACCTATAATACGTGTTTATGTTCGGACTATTTTAGACTGGTTCGGGTAGGTACCGCTGCGGAGGAGCCCAGTACCTGCGTGATTCGTCATAGACATAAACAGAGAGAAGTAGCTCCGGCTACAATGTTCTTCCGCAAGACGCACGCAGTTCTGTTAATTAACCGCTAGAGTGCCAAAAGTTACGGACTGCAGCTTTAAATAGGCCTACTAGAAAATTAATATAAAATAGGAAATACACAAAGACAGTTTAATACAGAAAACTACAGTTTAGTTCAATTACTTCATTAATTCATACTGATTTATTCATTCATTAATTCATACTAATTCATACAGTGTAAAAAAATGCACTGTAAATGTAAATGCCTGAATTCACTGTAAGACGCTTTGGATAAAAGCGTCTGCTAAATTAAATTAAATTAAATTCAAATTAAAATGATCCAATGACTGGTAACTTAAACAGGGTTCGTACAGATACTGCAAAATAAAATTTCAGGACTTTCAAGGACTTGCACTACTTTTTTGGTTTTCAAGGAATAAAATCAGATCTCACTTATCAATCAAAGTTGTTATTATCTTTCAAATTCTAATAAATAAACTAATAAAACCAAATGGTACAAACAAAGTGCAGCACATGCAAAGAATGCAATAACTGTGGCAACTTTAACACTGTGTCTACACCGGACGCGGCAGTTGTCGTGTCGCGCCACAACAGCTAAAGTCTGTCTACACTGGACGTGACTAAGCGACCGTTGAAAATCATTTGAAATTTGTGTCAGTATGTCATAAATAGAACACAACAGCAGTTTACTGTCGGGAATTTGTCGCGCCGCACCGCATCCAGTGTAGACACTGTGTAACATTTGAAAGGATACTATGGCAAAGTTATCGCTTTCCTTATTCAAACTGATTTTTTTTTGCATGAATATATGATTGACCTGAAGAATGAAAGCTATACACTTGAAAAATTGAGCTTTATCACGCTCATAGACACTAGGGGTGTGACAATACACTTAGCTCACAAGGTGAGACAAAATGCAGATACTTGCTTCACTAGAATGAGACAATGTTTTAATACTTTAAGAAATTTTCAAATGACAAAATATTTGTCTTTTAATCACAAAAAGTAAACCAATGCACTTGTATTTTGAAGTGTTTTAACTAATCTAGGGCTTAACTAATGATTATGTTGCTAATCAAGTAATCTACTGATTATTTTGACATGTAATCTGATATTTTTTAGTAATACAAATAGAACTAAGTGCAAAAACAGGCTTTAATATGACTATGTTTATATATAAAGTAACGATGAGGCAATAATAATTGGCCTCAAATAAAATATCAAAACCAAGTACATGGTTTTATTGAACAACACTGTTAAATACATAATGTAATATGCCTATATTATAACAAATACCTGCAGAGGGCGCCAAGGGTCTGGTGAGGTTTCATGTGATGCAACGTTTAAATCCATCTAATTTTAATATTTGGCCACATGCAAAGTCAGCAACTTTTATTTTGAAATCGCGATGTTTAGAAATGTTGATGTATTCTCCTGTGTTGGCATAGGTTTAAATGATTTACGTTACAAATCAAGAGAGTTTTCCCAGGTGAACGTTAAGCAACCCAAACTCACCTCATATACAGAGGAAGAGTTCAGCCCCTTTCACACATACAGTCTTTTCTGGTAAATTACTTATTTAGAGATCATGTGTGAACAGGACCTTTTCAAAAATTCCGGTAAATGTGTTCTGCCAATCATATCATTCTTATGGAGAAGACGCGATTACTCTGAGCGGTTTACAAAGCTCCACTGCTTTTTTAATAGCTTTTCTATGTAAATATGACGCTAGATGGAAATCTTTGACCATTGCGCCTCGCAGCTTTTTCAATGTGCCGCGCTTGAGACCCACCCAGGCTTCTTTTCCATTCATCAGCTAATGCACGTCTCGACGCTAGATGGAAATCGTTGACCATTGCGCCTCGCAGTTTTTCAATGTGTCGCGCTCGAGACCCAGGCTTCTTTCCCATTCATTAGCTGCGACTCTGCAATTGGATACTAATGCGTGTCTCGTGTTTATAAAAGCAAAAACTTCTGATTGGCTAGTAATGTTAGTTTACCCTTATTCCTAAGCCTAAACAAGATTTGACTATTATTGATAATTGGCGGCCAATTAGTCATTTGAATAATGATTATAAATTAATTGCCTCTATATTTGCTAAAAGAATTAAGAATGTATTAGAATATATTATAGATTAAACTCAGTCAGGCTTGATGAAAAACAGGCATATTTCGAATAATATAAGGTTGGTTTTAGATATATTTGATTATTCATATTTAATTGATGAAAATAGTTTTATTTTATTCTTAGATTTTTGTAAAGCTTTTGACACTGTGGAACATAATTTTTTATTTTCTTCTTTAAAGGTTTTTGGGTTTGGTGATTTTTTTTGTGCAGCAGTTGAAACCCTGTATAATAATGCAAATTGCTCAATCAAACTCAAACATGGAACTACCTCTAGATTTGATTTAAAAAGAGGTATTAGACAGGGTTGTCCTATCTCTCCGTATCTTTTCCTGCTTGTAACCCAATTATTATCTGTGCATGTTAAAAAAAGTATTCTTAAGGGAGTCTCAATTGCAAATAGAGAAATTATTATAAGTCAGTTAGCCGATGATACAACCCTTTTTTTGAAAAATAGTGGCCAAATTCCAATTGCAGTTCATCTTATTAATACGTTTTCTAGTGCCTCTGGCCTCTATCTCAATATTAGTAAGTGTGAACTAATGGCTGTTAAAGACTGTGATTTAATAGATATTTGTAACATTCCTGTAAAAGATAGTGTTACATACTTAGGAATCATTATTGGTAAAGACCAGCTGAAAAGATGTCCTCTCAATTTTAACCCCATAATTGATAAAACTAAAAGAAAATTCAACTTCTGGCTTCAAAGAGATCTCTCTCTAAAGGGAAGAGTTCTCCTTACGAAGGCTGAAGGTATAGCCCGACTGACATATGCCTCTTTATCTTTGTATCTTGATAACCATACTAGTAAAAATATTGATAAGATGCTATTTGATTTCCTATGGAGAAATCGAACACACTATGTTAAAAAGACTGTGATTATGAATACATATGAGAACGGTGGCCTTAATTTCTTAGATTTCACCACTATGAACCACACCTTTAAGATTAATTGGATTAAGCATCACTTAAAAAACCCCACTTCTGTCTGGAATTTTATCCCTCATTATGTTTTTTCAAATATTGGTGGTCTTAGTTTTGTTTTGATGTGTAATTATAATATAGATAAAATTCCAGCTAAGTTATCTGCCTTCCACAAACAAGTGCTCCTATCTTGGTCATTAATATATAAGCATAATTTTTCTCCGCATCGCTATTTCATCTGGAATAAAAGAAACATTCTTTACAAACATAAATCTCTTTTTTTTAAGAACTGGGTTTGACAACGATATTAAATTGGTTAGTCAGTTATATAATGAAGGAACACTCCTTTCTTATGATGAATTCCTTTCTTATTGTAAAACGCCAGTTACTCAAAAAGAATTTGCAATTGTTATTGGTTCAATCCCTTCAGGTACTCGCATGCTATTTAAAGGTATTGATATAGACCATTCTCCCGATTCAGTGTCTTTTGATGTTAGTAAATCTTATATTGGTAAAATTGGTTATATTGGTAAAATCCCAAAAATAATAATAGAGCTATCCGTACTCTTTTCCAAAGAGAAATTGTTACTGTACCTTATGTTTTGTCTCATTGGGTCTCTTTTTTGAACGGAAAATTGATTTGCTGGAGAAAAGTGTGGTTGTTACCACAGAAATATCATCTTAGAAATAAGATTAAAGAAGTTTCTTATAAGCTTATTCATAGATTTTATCCAGCAAATCATTATTTACAAAAATTTAAAAAAGGAATAAATGTAAATTGTATTTTTTGTAATGAGCCAGAATGAACTGAATCAGAACGAAATAGATAATAATCAACAACCTGGCCATGAACAGGGACTTGCCAGCAGTCAGCAACAGAAGGTGGTTGGCAGAAACCATTCTCCACCATGGGGTATGTATATATTATCATATAAAGGTGGAAGTATGTGTT